TTAAGCAGTAACAATTCATTTCATCCCACATCTCACGGTGGGGGTGTGACTCCATCCAGCACCTAATGTTCCCCAGAAAATGTTATTCATTCCTATTGAACAAGTCATGACATGTAGGGTATGAGCATGCAGCATGACTTACATTGTTGTTGTTGTTCTTTTGGCTGCTCCCTTCTGCAGGAGTCACCACTGCCAGTAAACTTACATAAAAACTGGCATTTGTTTTACACCAGATGCCTGTTCTCACCCTGGGCTCGAACCTGCAGCCTCAGGACTACAAGACCACAACACAGACCACTGATCCACCACAGCCCTGACTTACACAAACATTGTGAGCATTATAACAATTTGTGCACATATTTGTTGCAAATATGTTTTGTTGCTCTTAATAAAACCAGTCTGCACAGTTCAAATCTTGCTGCAAAATTGTCCCAGTTGAGATTCAGACGTTTTTATGATAATAACCGTGTCAACCACTTCACCACTGTGCAGCCCAGATGATAAGTAGACTTTGCACTCTGTACATTTTGTTACTGAACTAAAAAGATGCTACTTCTGGATGTTATCCTTTAATAAAGAAGACTGTAAGAGGATTGAAAATGAAACGAGGCAGTTTTGTCCATCAAGAAGCTCAGATAAATCACAGCCAGAATGTTGGAGGAAATCTGCTTTCAATTTTCTGCATGATTTATTCTCATGCGCCTCTTTTCTAAAACGAGCTCCTAATGAAAATGGGAGCAAAATTATATTAAAGGCATTATTACAAATATAAATAGGACCCAAAGCTTGGTAACATAATGAGTGAGTAGCAGAGATTTTTAGAACTGTAGGCTACAAAAGAGCAAAAGACTGCACTGGAAGATAAATCTAATTTCTTTTAAAACAGGGACTGCAGAGTCTGGAGTGGTTTTTTTAATTATTTTTTTATGTTCCATCTGAAACATCTGTGGAAATTATTCCACCTCTGAACAACAAATGTTATAATTGTGATTTAATCTTTCCCGTTGTTGAACCTTAAGAAAGTCTAGGGAGTTTGTTCAGGATGAGATCCAGATGTGTGTTGATGCAGCTGCGTGAGTGAAAGTGGACACTCCAGCTCTCACCTGTGAGTTCTCTTTGCATAAATCTTAAAATCTGCTTCTTTAAAAACAGTAGTAAAAGCCAAAACAAACCAGTAAGGGGCAAGGAATGTGACAGCACCTCTTCTATAGTGTCCATGCAAGACCTGCCTTCTTTTTTTTTTTGTTAATTAACAATCCCATGTCAGGAACTGCAGTCCAGCTATTTCATTAGCATTTGGTTCGCACCACTTTTTTCTCTGTGTGGATACGCATACTATGCTGTGGTTTTAACAAGCATGGTGGAATAGCTAATCAAAACCTGGATGCTGGTAATAGTGTCTTTGATCAGCTGCAGTGAAAATGGACATGCTGTTTTTTTGTGTTATGCAGGTTTTACATTTGCAAGTAGACGACATGAAGCCTCAGATCAAAGGATTGGGATGATTTTCAAGTCAGAACTGCTGGTATACACTTCAGTCACAGGCAAAAAGTTTATATTCAGTTAACTGTGACATGCAGTTATAATAGTTTGATGAAAGACTGTGAAAAAGGTGATATTATAAAAAAATAATGAAAAGTTAGTAAAAGATTATTTCAAGCTAAAGCCCATCTCGATGGGATCAACTACCTGGTATCATGGCACATTAAAGGTCATGCCATGTCATTAATGGTGTTTTCATTGTGTGTGTGTGTGTGTGTGTGTGCTGGGGGGGGGGGTCACTCAGGAGAACTTTCAGCTGAAATGTGCGATATTGAGGACCGTACAGTTAACTCACCAACCACATCAGGATTTTCAATCCTGATGCACTGAAATGTGTTCCTCATTTGTAATCAGTCTATTTAAAAATCACCAACCTTAAGAGAGATCAAAAAACATGAAAGCAACCATGTTGGTTTTATATTGATTTCATATCAGAGATAACTTTATGCATAAATAGAAGAATTCACATTTGATATTTTTTATGAGTTAGTCTTGTTTAGGTCTTTGTTCAAGTTGTTTCATGTCTGTGACTTCAGCTGATAAAGAAGACTGTTGAGATTTTACAGTTTTTTTTTTTATATAGATTTTTGCAGCACTTTTATTATAATTTCAAAGGGAAACAGTAGATTTGGGGTGTGCAAAACTTTTATATTTCATTATCTTGAGTAATTTGAGTGTCTTGGTCTTTTCGACGAGACAGAGAACGCAGCCAGACACAGAAAATGTTAGACATCAAAGTTAATGATGCCCTTTTCTCTGAGGCACATCCAGCTCCTTTAATGATGCAACATCAGCTCTGCCCAGCTCACAGACACCATTAATGCAGTTGTTGTTTTTTGACATTGCCTTTCCACATTATCTAAATCTAGACGGCAAACTCTAAGAAGGCTTTAGCACTCCAGGGATCACACAAAAAATGAGAGCAAAGTGTGTTTACCTTTAGGTTTTCTGGGTCAGCAGAGCTCTAGCATGTGGCCGTCAAATGGAAGAAAGGATCCATCAGAGCATTGTCATTTATGACCAGAGCATGAACGTCTCTGCAGCTTAAATGGTTTAATGGCTCAAGTATTCTGCAAAACCATCGTTTAAAAGCATGGCAGCATTGATTCCAAGGCATTAGTTGTGCTGGAAAGAATGTTCTGTGCTCTGTCAACAAATAAACGTGGAAACACATTGCATCAAAGAGAAATATGCAAATTTAATATCAATCAAGAGGGTTGTTTTTTTCCTCTTTCTTGAACTGGTATAAGTCTGAAGATGTAAAAATTATATAAAGTGAAATAAAAATATGTTTTTTATGTTTTATGTGTGTAGTAAGGCAGAGTACATGTGTGTGAATGAGAGGGAGGCCTGTGGAGCAGTGAGGCTACAAGGAGCAGAGGTCACAAAGGTGCAGGACTTCAAGGACTTGGGGTCCACTGTCAAGGAAAATGGCGAGTGTGGTAAAGAGGTGAAGAAGAGAGTCCAGATGGAGTGGATGGAGAAAAGTTTCAGGAGTGATTTGTGACAAAAAAGGTCAAAGGAAAAATTTATAAGACAGTGGTGAAACTAGCTATGTTGTATGATCTGGAGACAGAGACAGTGACAAAAAGACAGGAGAAAGAACTGGAAATGGCAGAAATGAAGATGTTGAGGTTCTCCTTAGGAGTGACAAGGACGGATAAGATTAGGAATGAGATCATCAGAGGTACAGCACAGGTTGAACAACTGGGAGATAAAGTTAGAGAGGCCAGACTGAGATGGTTTGGACATGTCCAGAGGAGGGACAGTGGGTATATTGGTAGAAGGATGTTAGAAATGCAGCTGCCAGGAAAAGATACAGAGGAGATATATGGGTGCAGTTAGAGAGGACATGGAGGTAGATGGAGTGAGGACAAAGGATGCAGAGGACAGAGTGAGATGGAGGAGGATGACTCACTGTGGAGACCCATAAGATGGAAAAGCCAGAAGAAGAAGAAGAAGGGTTGTTTTCTTCCTCTTCCTTAAACTGATATGAGTCTGTCAAGATGTAAAAAGTATATAAAGTGAAATTATTATTATTATTTTTATGTTTCAGTCAAGGCTTGGTACACTATCAGGACTAAAAAAAGAAGTGGCTTCATAAAGGATAAAAAAAAAAAATAATAATCCACAGTAAAAAAAAATCATTTTTACTGAAAAACACATGAAAAATACACATACATCTTTTCTTTCATACTGTCCTTGACGCAACCATTGTAACGTTATTTTATTGAAAATGTTTTAGATGTGGAATTTTTTTTTTTAATGGGGGGGGGGGGTATGTGGGTCGAGGTGCAGTTTAGTTTTAACTAGTGGTAAAACAGTGACCCCTGCAGGACAATTGTTTTATATGTTACTAAAACAGGGACACACAGGGACAGGTAGTTATACTTTCTGAAGCACACTGTTTTAGGAGTAGCACATTTATTTTCAAATCACTTCTCATAAATAGCACAATCACTCTCAATTAGCAGAACTGCCCTTCTCTTTTGCTAAGTGAAACTTTAAAAATAATTTTACACAAATTTGTATAAACTGGTTCACACACACACACACACACACACACATATAT